GTGATTATGCGTAATTGTTTAGTTACATGACAGTAATCACCTCGGACGCGTGAATGTGTGTTGTGAGTTTATAATATTAAAATATTATCTTTATATAAAATTCTTATATTTGGGGGTGTTTATTGGCAAGAATGTGGCTATATGATATATATCAAAATACAGCAGAGGTGATACAATATCTGGCGATACTTAAAGCCATAAAATATTAGTATTTTTTTAACTGAACTTAAAATGATAATGTGTAGTTTTTACCATTAATCTCTGGAAGTATCCATCGAAATGCTGTTGAAAATGATTAAAATGATATTCATTCATTAAAAAATATTGGCGGCAGCTTTGTAACATAAAACTATAAAAATCATGTCTAAAATACAAAGTGTGTCTTAGGGGGATGCCATATTAGCTGCCATGTTTCCTTCTGGCTGGCTCGGGGTCCTTTACCTGTCAATGACATCACACTAAATTATTGGCTAAACGTATGACTTATGAAAGTTACATTATCACCTTTGAAAACATTCAGATAGTAAGCAACACGAGTTTAATAACAAAACTGCTAAACTCTTTCAAAAACACATATGAAAGAATAGAATTGCAAAAGAGATGCAATATATTTTGGCCGAGCAATGTTGCCGTAGTATGATGATGCCATTGGCAGGCGCAGAACCCCGAGCAGATCTGGAAACTACAGAGTCCGCACATAGCATTTTCTCTGTGGAATTAACTAAAAGACCATCAAAGTGTGAGAAGTCAGGCCAGGGTTGCATGCTTTCTGCTCCACAGGTAGCAACATTTACCGTAGTGTATTTTTAAACTAGCAACAGTCACGGCGATACGGCGTAAAATACCCTGAAATGTATGCAACCCCTAGCACTAGGAAATTACATACTGCCACTTTAATTGAAATACTCAAGCCAGATGCTTCCAAGTGTGTTAAGTGTTATCCGGTGTTACTGCAAGATTTTGTGGCTCTGTCACAGTGAAGGCGGTAAAAACTGCTGCCACCTAGCAGTCGGGGTTTGGATATAAATTTTCAATAAATTGATACACTTCTTTTAAATATTGACTCAGTATCATTATACAAAATATCCCAATATATTTTAGTGGGTTAATCTTTTTCACATTCTTTCTTATATTAATGTAATATCTGTAAATATCTGGGTATAATCGGGTTTAACAGCGATGTTAAAATCGTATATCGATATTAGCCCACATTTTCATAGCGGTGCATCGCTAATGACAGCCAACTATTTTTTTTTAAGTATGCAGACTGACCTCCCCGAAAATCCAAAGGATTACAAAGCCCTACAAGATTTAAAAAAAATAATAATAATATCAAGTGCCAAATGGCATTTAATGATCAGATGAACTGATGATGAATGGAAGGGAAGGATTTTCTCCATGAACACATGCTGACTTATAAAAATGTCATGTAGATTTAAAAAAAAAACCTAATCATATTGATTCAATCTGCTTGGCTTGGCCTTGTGTGTTCTCTCACTTATGTTACTAAAAATACAGCCAAGGAGCTGGAGCTCTCCATCTAGGCCTCAGCAGCTCAGGCATGGTGAGCAGTCTTTTAGAAACACTTGTGTGCTGACAGAGGACCACACAGAGGACTCACTGTGCTACAGAGACAAAAAGATTAATATTCAATCATTCAGTTTTGAAGACATTACTAGAACTGGAACTAATTAGTGCGATTAGTCTCTTAAAGTGGATTCAATGAGTTGTAGTTTTAGTTGTAAGAAACATCTCAGCACCCCACTGACACACTGTCTGCATTCTGGCCTTCATCATTTAGAAGCAAACTACCAGCTCCATCTTCTACTTCCATACAAACATCGAGTGTTCTGCATCCATTCCGTTCGTTTATTATTCATATGCACTGAAAGGTAAATGTGGGATATTTTTACACTGAAAGTCACAGCTTCAAATTCCTGTCTACTGACAGTTTTGTATTAGCTTTAATTGATTGCCTGCATTGTAAGCACAAGTAAAGGAAGTCGCAGCTTTTCCAGAGCAGCCATCAGTCAGAAATCACCTCGGAGCTCTTTGTGGCCTGTTGCCATAGTGAATTTTGTATATTTGTCTGTATAATTGTCCCAAATGATCAGCTTCGGTGGTGTTTAATTTTTCTTCAATGTGTGGGTTTTACTGTGTGATTTGTTTGCAACATGAAGAAATACATTGAAGATTGTTTCTAATCTGAACCCAAACACTCCAACGTCAAAATAAACTAAGGTATGAAGTAGTATCCTCATATCATCATTCATGCATCTTTTGCACAATTAAACTTAAATGTTTTGGTGAGTTCTTGTTCAATATGGAATATTAGAATCACACATTTTTAAATTGAAACAGCTCAACAAAAGTAAAATTTTAGAATGAAAAAAAAGTATAATTCAGATAAGAACAATGGAGTTTTTTCCAGAACAATTCTGAACATGGGGTTTCACTGCTACATGCATAAAGGATTAATAAATACTCATAATTCTATGCTTGTCACAAACAAGTACTACTCATGACCATGTTTTGAGCTAACTCCTACACAAGTGGACTAAATTTCTTCAGTCAAACCATGACTTGGGGCTGACTGTTTAATTGGTTCTATGGGGAGCTATTCCAAAGAATAGGCCACACCCACCAAAGTTTAGCATGAATATCTCATCTGGGTTGGACTAATATTGCTCACATAAAGTTTCATGCAGATCAGATAAGAATTGTGGAAATTAGAGGGAAACGAATTGGCACAGCATGACATCTGAATTTGACACCGTCATAACCCCACCCCTTTTGGAAGTTTCCCAGTACTGGACACCAAGCAACCCCAACTTGTCTTCAGTTACCTGGTAAAGATTTGTGTTGATTAGGTGAAAGGGGTCAAATCACGACCTTTCACATTAAAACATGACATTACAGGTCATGAGGGGGCGTGGCAAACCCTACTGGTGTAATAAATTAGCTCCATAAAGAATTATATTTTGCCCCATAACAGTTAAAGAATGAACAAGAGTTGAACTCATCCAAAGTGTGTCACAAATAAAACAAGATCGGAAGAAAGTGGAGAATGTAGCAGTTAAACAGTATTTCGCAACACAAAATGTTGTTTCTTTGTGACGAGTTAAAAATACCCTTCAATTCTAGTTTGGAAGAGAATATTTTGAGCTAAAATGTAATAAAATGTTGAGAGAGTAAGCTGAGTTAGCAAAAGATTATGTTCTTGTGTGAAAAATGCCCCAAAATTATAAACTTTAGGACTTCCAGAACCCAAGTTCAGCCATGTAAAATCCAACCATTTTAACTCTTAGATGTGACGTTTATCTGAGCTAGAGCTCCTAAAGAGACAATTTTCTCATCCAAAATCTGTTGTGTGGAAATGTCCTCAAAGTTGACTCATTTCCTGAATAAATTGCATGTTTTACTCTATTATATGCATGTTTTTTGTGAAGTTGTGTATGTGAATAATGTCAAATGTGTAGTAATTAGTAAGTGTGATCATGCATCGTCAACCCTTAATGAAACACAGGGAACTTTTAAATTCTGTTATGTTGATGATAGTTTGAAATATTCGCTGTGTCATGAAAATTCAACCCCTACAGTCAGATGATGATGACGATGATGATCTACTGCAGCTGCAGTCTTGAGGAATTGTACTGCTGCTCCGCACATCTTCAGATCAGTTACATGCTGTCTACCTGCCGCTTTACAACTGCCTGTTGAAATGAACACAGGGCTGGAGCAGGAAAATCAGCAATGAGCTCAGTTACAGGCATGGGGGATTATGTGATGCTGGCGCTGAGGCTCGCACATTGCTGCTTTTTGGTAATTTAATAAACAAACAAACAAAAAGTGGAGAATCAAACCGATCTCTACAGCGAAAGCGGTGCACTGGAGCAGCAGAAACCGGCTCCTTCCCCCCTAGTGCCTTGCACGTTCGCACACAATCGACTCAGAAGTGCTGGCATAAAATCACCCGCATGATGCTGCTGCTGGTGCTGGTGCTGATGAGTATTGGCCAGCATGCAGCGGAGTGACAGACATGAGAGACTGGTCTGTCTCCTTCGGCTGGCCTGGCTCACTGAAAACACAGCAAGTGTGGCTCATTTAAGAGGTGATGCAGTGGAAGGTGTGTGTGTGTGTGGGGGGGGGGGGATGCTGCTGCAGTCAACCCTAGGATGGAATAATCTGTTTAAAGAGCAAGTCACCCCCAAATCAACTTTTTTTTTCTGATAAACTATATAAATGTGTGTCTAATCGTGCTGCAGACACGTGTAGTCAATAGTTTTGCACTTTAGTGCATTTTAGTTAAAATTTAAATTTTCTGCCTGAAACGGTCAGTGTTGTGCCGTTGTCAGGTAAAAACTCTTCACTGCATTTGAATTTAAATCTGCCACCGCTATTGGCTAAGAGGTATGCTATGATGTAAACTGGTACATTATGATGTCACAATGTCGTGAGTGTGTGTATTGGTTAGTGGCTCCACCCTCTCGGTCTGCTAGGCAACAGCATTTGTTGCATTTTTCAAACATGAAGTGGGAGTGGAGTTCACTTCTTGTAAGGGGTGACTTGCTCTTTAAAGGAAGAAAAAACTGATCAACTGAAAGAGCAGGAAGCAGCAGTGTGTGTGAGAAAGAAAGTGTGTTTGTGTGAAAAGGGGAGGGTGATGAAGGAAATCCACATGCAGAAAGAGAGAGGGAGAGATTTTTAAAAAGTTAGGAGATCAGGTTGATGCAGCTGAGGTTGTATGTGCACCTGTGCCCTGCTCCCAAACCTGGCTCGTCTATAAGTTGTACCCCCCACCTACCCCCCTTTTTCCTTACAGCGCCTCTGCATGAGCCTCTGGCTGCATAAAGATGATTGCAGATCTCCCCACAAAATAAATAAATAAAATGAAAATTTAAAAAAATCGCAGACAGGCTTCTCTTTCACACAAGCACGCACAAACGCCGGCTCACTGACAGGCAAACGAAAGGCGCATTAATGGTGACAGGAGGGCTTACCACTTGGATTCTTGTTTTTCTTGAGACTCTTGCCACAAAGACACTGCAGCATATGCGTTCCTTTGCTGAAAATGTTCCAAAGAAACCACATTGATTTGGGCGAAGAGCAATCCAGCGGCTTAAACACCCAGCTATAGATGAGATCCTTGCGGTTGCATAATAATAACACAATTGGATCAGTTCTCCTGAACAAGGCTACCAGTTGGATCATAAAAAAATAAATATCCAAGTCCTGTGCGCTTTCATTCGCGTGACAAAAAAGAGTCGGTGTCAGTCAGACTTGGTAACAGCGGTGTCTCGTGTTTAGATTTATAAAGAATTTCTCCTCAACTAGTCTACAAGAATAGAAAAAATACTCTAGAAATTGCATGTGTCGCACCGGGAGGAGACGGGTCGCCAGTAAACAAACACAACTAACGTGAAAACAGTAAACCACGGTGGATTTCCGAGGAAAAAAGCATTGCCTATTAGTTCATCACTCTGAGGAGAGGAGGGTGGATCTGCACAGCATCAAAAGCCAGGGGAGGATGCATCCTATATGCACAGACTGCTGCAACGGTAGCCCCAGCGAAGCGCCACATCAAGTCCAGATCGTGTCTCCTTTACGCTGAAATGATTGGCGAAGGCAGAAAACACCGGGATAGCATAGTCCCTCGCCGCAGCGTCTCAGTTAACGCCAGGATCCTGGTGCGTGTGTGTGTGTGTGTGTGTGTGTGTGTGTGTGTGTGTGTGCGTGCGTGTGCGTGTGTGTGTACGTGATTCCTGGAGTGTGTTCCCCATTTTCATCACCACGCCAATGACAGCTCATAAAGTGCGCTGCGCCCGCAGGAAAACGTTTGCATGAATTTCCTTTAGCATCGGTCCTCTGCAGGCATACATCTATACATGCAGAAGGAGGAAAGGGAGAAAAGACTGGCTTTCTACGTAAAACACGTGGTTTCGTGCGCCGTCACAACAGAGATGTTGGGTTTTATGTCCCAATAGTTCAAGTTAAAATTCTTGGAGAAACAAAAATGTTCATTAAGGACATACATGACTGTATATTTGCAACCATGAACTTGTTTCAAATGATAGTGGCAGGGTTCAAGTTTCAAAGTCACAGGTGCTTAAACTCATAAGGATGGGGGTTGAGGCCCCCCTAGGGCACCAATAATTTTTTATATCATTCTAATTAAGATTCTGTTATTTTTCTTTATTTATTTGTCACAAATTTGTCTATTTTCATACTATTTAAAATCGGGAAAAATATGCAATGTATTCAACAGTGATCGATGAAGTTCAATCAGAAATTGTGTGCAAGGATTTTTGGGAGAAGTGCATTAAGCAAAATCTGCAAAAAACATTCTGACATGCCAACAACAGGATTTGGGCAAAATGTGTGTGAAAAGACTTCACTGTAACTTAATTTATGTTAAACAGGTGGTTGAAAACTGGATTTTTTTTTACATCATAATCAGTTACGTCTTTGGCATAATAAGTTAGGTGGGGGCATGTTTCGCCCCCTTCTGTCTAGGAGGGGGAAGAGGGAGTAATGCAGGAAATAAAACGAGCTGAGGAAGAGTTTATTATAATATTGGTTCACTCAAATAAGAAGAGGCTTTGCAATATCACAAACAAAACCAAGTCTCATGTATCTAAGAATAAGTAACTAAAACTTAACCCACTGGGAGAAAACCAACTTGCCCAATTAACTAAACACAAAATGCTTAATAAATCCACAGCAGAATTACTCAAACAAAACAGGAAGACTCTAAACTATTTTATCTCTAAAGCAGGAAAGTAAAATAAAACAAGCACAAAAGCCAAGACTAAACAGCTGGATCAAACTGGATCAAACACTATAGAGACCAACTAAGGAAACTGATTCAAAAATCTAAAAGCTTAGAATAACAAAAAACTAAGCAGTCAAAAACTACAAGTTCTCCAACAACTCCTTCCAGTGACAACCAAGCCACAGTCAAAGGGACAACAGAATGGGGTCTGGGCCCCCTAACCTCTGAAAAAGCCTTTTAAAAGCCTGAGCTGTCTAACTGCAGATTCCTTTCAGCTGGTGCTGTGCGACAGCATGCCTCTCTCCCTTGTGCTGCAAATGAAAACTGGAACTGAGCTGAAGAGGGGAGTGGCAGCCTGCAGGCGCTGTCCAAGGTGCTGACTCAGGGAAACCTTACGGGGACCATAACAGGGCAGAAAAATTTGTTGAGCCACTTTGGCCAGCTCCTCTGGGGAATCCCTAGGCATCTCATGGCCAGCCGAGTGTTCTGGGTTTTCCTTTATGCATCCTCCTGGTCGGCTGTGCCTGGAAAGTTTCACCAGGGAGGCATCCTAAGATGCCAAAGCTGCCTCAACTGGATCCTCTCGACGTGGAGGAGCAGCAAATGTACTCCGAGTCCCTCCTGGATGACCAAGCTTCTCATCCTTTCTCTTAAGGAGAGCCCAGACACCCTGTGGAGAAAACTGATTTTGGCTGCTTGTATTCATTATCTCATTATTTTGGTCACTATCCAAAGCTCATGACCATAATTAAAAACATAATTCTTCATGTGCAACTATTTGTATTAGTCATACTTTTTAGGTGTGTGGTTCCCATGGGGACACTAATGAGTCTCTGGGACAAGCTGTAACATTTTTTCTTTTGCCTCTTTTTCTTCTATGCCTTCATTACGTCCCGTTTGGACCATGTAGGGTATCTATAGCTAGGGTAGTCAAGCATGTCTTTCACGTTTGCAGTTAATTCAGAATGCGGCTGCTTGCCTTCTTACTGGGACTGGTCGAAGGGAGCATATTTTGCCCGTTCTCGCCTCTCTCCACTGGATCTCTGTAGAGTTTTGTATTCAGTTTAAGATTTTGGTTCTTGACTACAAGTGTTTAAATGGCCTTGCACCAATCCACCTATCTGTGTTGCTCTAATCTTATGTTCCATCTCGCTGTCTGAGGTCAACTGACCAACATAGTCTGGTTGTCCCCAGAGTTAGGCTTAAGAGGAAAGGTTGTAGAACATTTTCTGTAGCACCTCCAACTTTTTGGAATCTTCTGCCCATCTGCATTAGGACGGCGCCGTCAGTTGTGGTTTTCAAAAAATTACTGAAAACGCACTTTTACTCTGTTGCTTTTATACCTCTTTGGGAGTGTTTTAGTCTTGGTTTTATGACTTTCCGTCTCTGGTTTTAGTCATGCCCGCTTTTGCTTTGTTGCCTAGTCAATTTTGCCTAACTGTTAGCTGTTTTTTAATCTATTCCTGTTTTGGATTTTATGAGTTTATCAGAAACCGACGCTCTGGGGCAGCGTGTTGCCTTGGAAACAAACGCTTGGTTAGCCAGCGTCATTTTTCGATGCTTCGGGTGTGAGAACGTGTTGTTTAGATCATGAACACAGCTGATTTGTTTGATATAGGGATGAACTGCTCCTGTAGACACTAAGGAATGCTGAGGAGACATTTCATCAGTTAGATTAAGGTGTTAAAAAGACAAATGCACAGCAAGGAGACACGTTTCACTTTTGGTTCTACTAAACAGACACTAGATGGTGCGAAGGCAAGCCAAAACTGCCAAGTGTGCCTTTAAAAATGATATTATATAATGGCAAAGTTGGAGTGCCAGACCACACGCTTCACATATGATGAGAAATAGTCTTGTCCATAATAGTTTAAAAAAGTTAAATTTGGTTTCCTGAAAATTATTGTAATGAATAAAATAATTAAAAACAAATGTATTCATCATTGTTTGGAGAAAATGAGGTCATTTATCTGCTTTGTTTTGTTCTGTCAAACCTCATCAGGGGAAACCATTAGTGTTGCTCTGAGTGACTGTTTCCATTGTCTGATGACTTTTCTCCAAGGTGTTGAAGATGTTCCATCACAGATGAAGGGTGGAGAAGATTGTGTTTTTGTCATGACTCCCATCTTTCACCCTCCTCTGCCTCCTCATTCAACCTTCATTCAGCTCACCTGGTCCCTTCACCAAGCTCCTGACAAGCCATGTTTCCCTGGCAACCACAATCAACTTCATTCTTCTCACCTGTTCCTGTCATCAGCTTCATCCACTTCACCTGCCCCTGACTCCTCAGCTCATCTCACACACCTGCTTCCCCTGCTATAAAAGATCCATCCTGCTATCCAGTCTCTGCCAGATTATTGAAAACATTTGCCAGTAAATTCTCCTGCCATCCACCCTGCCTGATCTCTGCCTCCGGATCTCGTTTTTTCTCCGGACCCCTGCCTTGAACTCTGCCTGCCATCACGACAATCGCCTGTCTTCTACCACGTCTCCAGCCTGCTCCCTGTACCTGCTTGTGCCGATCTGGTTTTGACTCACGCCTGCCCTCTGACTCTGTCTCCTGCCTCGCCCTTCTCTGGTAACTCCACAAAAAATAAAAGATTTTTTATATACTTTTACTGTGTTTGTCATTACGGGTCTTCTGAGTTCTGTTCGTGACAGTTTTCCCTGTAATTTTGTCACATGAGTTTAGGAGAACGAGAGATGATCTTTCCCAGGGCTCACACGAGAGATTCCTCAACAACTGTTTAAAACACTCCACCAGTCTACTCCCAGTTTGAGAATAAATGTTTAAGACATCACCCTGAGTTTGGCATTTGTGAGGTGACACAGGACCTCTGGATAACTTAAATCAGATCCAGCTGAACAGAATGTGTAATCAGGTCAAATTTGATGGTGAACAATGTCTTATTTTAGCTAAAAATGAAAACCTCTAACACAAACTACATACATATGAATGCCTCTGTTCATGTCTTGAGAGGTTTTGTCATTTAAGGTTTTAGAGGGGTCGAGCATTGCCAAACATCTTGACAGTTTTTGACAGCGATCAATAAATGTATTCAGGTTGACTCTCACCCACCAGTTTTGGTTTCTGATTTTTATCCGCTGATCTTTTGCGGGGGAAGAAGCAACAAAGACGGCAGCAAAAATCCACCTTCACTTTCTTCCTGTTTACATGCGACAGGAAAAAGGCCCACGTCTCGTCAAAAGAAGCTGCAGAATCATCCCTCCTTCCACAGTTCCTTGTAATATTTAAAACTGCTTAAATGAATATTAATTTTTTAAAGTTTGGCTTGTTTATAATGTTGGACTTTGTGTTTTCACCTAACTCCAAATAATTTAAAATTTTAGATTTGAATTATACTTGAATTCCTGAACTCAAACCGATGTGGTTTTTGACTTTTATAGAGCAAGTCATGTCCAAATCAACTGTTTTCTCCCATTAAACTATATAAGTGTCTAATCATGCTGTAGATGCGTGTAGTAAAGAATTTGGCATTTTGGTACATCTTAGTTAAAATTCCAATATTCTTAAAACTGTCAGTGTTGCGCCCTCTTCAGGGAAAACTCGGTGCCACATTTGAATTTAAATCTGCTTTTGGCTAAGAGGTATCCTAGGACATCAGCTGGTACCGTGTGTGTGACTCCACCCTCTCGGTCTGTCAGGCAATGCCTCCTTGTGGTGCATTCTTAAAAAAGAAAATGGGAGTGGAGTTAGACTCTGGTAGGGGGTGACTTTCTCTTTAAAAGCTTTGATCTGAACTCTTGACATTTACAACAGTCTGCCATAAACACAATGTTTATTCTTGTTTTGCTTAAGATGAATCTGTTAAAAACACACAAAAAATAAAACAGTTTGACAATTTACCTAGCATTTCAGCACCAATTAGGTTTTCCACTGTTGGCTGAATTGACTAGATCAGGGCTA